GACAAGAAAATTGGTTGTTCTACATCAGGAATGTCAAACTTGAGGGCTGCATCAGGGCTGTGGGTGACCTCGGGTGGGCCAGGTGGGCATAACAAACTGTGTGTGTGTGTGTGTGTGTGTGTGTGTGTGTGTGTGTGTGTGTGTGTGTGTGGTCAGCTTGATGCCACTCACTGGGCATGGCCGACTGGGTGGGTGTGGCCATCTGGGTGGGCGTGGCCAGCTTGAGGTCACTCCCCAAACTGCTGGCATGTTTCCTCTTTGCATTGTGTAGACCAGGCCTAAGTCACACATGCAAGCCCCTTACATTTTCCAGGACGGCCCTGTGGGATGGATCTGACCACAACCTCAGGCTAGATCCAGCCCACGGGCCTTGTGTTTAACACCCCTGTTCTACATGAACATTCACATCATAGCAATGATCCAGATCAGGATTCTGCTATCCTGCATTTATGCCCTACTAAATAATAGCAATTTAGGAATATGCAGGTTTACAGTTTTAATTCTGGTTTACGCGTCAGTTTATCTTGAATATTTTGTAATCTACCATAATCTTGAAAAGTTGGTTCTTCTTGACTCTCAATGGCTCCCTATTTGAGGCAAATAAATCATCTTGCTTCTAGAACAGGTTGAGGATATAGTAATCGGCCTATGGTTTAACCCGTGCTTTGCAAATGAAATTAACACAGCAGTCATGGCAAGACATGGCAGTCCATTGACAATTAAAAATAATAAACCCATATGAAGAACGGGGTCATAGAAAGTTTGTCTTCAGTATTTGGAATATAAACTTGTTATCAGATTTAGTCTACAGAACACAATGAAGGAAATTCTAATAGGAAGATACAGAGAAAGCTCTATAAAAATGCTGTAGAAATGCATTTCATAACTAGTATAACCCATCTTATCTGCATTTTCTATGCCAGACAATAGCACTTTATTTCTCCCAGAGATTTTGGTGATTCGTTATTTGTGATAGATTTAAACATTTATTACCATTTTTACTCTTTGTTATTGTGTTTTTTGCAGCATGTTATTGTTTATTGGGTCTTGCATATTTTATACAATGTAATGATATCAGTTTTTTTCCCCAATGATTTTAACCTTCCTTTGGAATTTTAGAATTTACTGCAAATTGTTTGGAAACAAAAAAAAATATTATATATTATCTTTTAACTGAAAAAAAAAAATTCAGACAGAGATTTTCTGATATCCTTTCTGATACTTTCATTTTTGCATTTTAGGATAACAAAATGAGGTTGTTATAATACTGACCACAAGATGTCAGTGTTTGCCAGGAATCCACCCAAAATAGCCAATAAATGCTAAATACTAAATCCACTTGAATTCTTTTAAAGATTTTACAGCTTTTGTTTCTTTTGAGAAGGCATCAAGTGACACCAAGAAGCCAACTGTGCACATTTTAGTGACATAATAACAAAAATGTTCCCTGATTTTTTTTTACAACATCTCTCTAGCAGGACCCTGTATTTTGTGCTACAGTGTGTTAGTGTTGCATAATGTGTTGTCTTCACTTCAGCCCCATCAAAATTGTGTTTGTATAATAAACAGTAGCAAAAGTTAACATTCTAATTCAAAAGTTAATATTCTGATTCAAAAGTTAATATTCTGATTCAAACGTTAATATTCTAATTCAAAAGTTAATATTCTAATTCAAAAGTTAATATTCTAATTCAAAAGTTAATATTCTGATTCAAAAGTTAATATTCTGATTCAAACGTTAATATTCTAATTCAAAAGTTAATATTCTGATTCAAAAGTTAATATTCTAAATGAAAATATGCACAGAGGCAACATTTTCATCCTGTCCAAAGGTCTGAGAGAGAGAAATAATCAATCTGAATTATTTGTCTACATTGCAGCCACTGGATTTTGAAACAAAAAAGGCATACACTTTCAAAGTAGAAGCCTCAAATGTGCACCTTGACCATCGCTTTCATTCTGTGGGTCCGTTCAAAGACACAGCAACTGTGAAGATAAATGTCCTGGATGTGGATGAGCCTCCGGTTTTCAGCAAACCATTTTATACCATGGAGGTATATGAAGATACTCCAGTTGGGACCATTATAGGAGCCGTGACTGCTCAGGACTTGGACATTGGAAGCAGTGCGGTCAGGTAAGGAAATGTCCCACAGCTCACGAACTCAGACTCATGAATGAATTGGGAGCAGTAAAAATAATCGTAAA